TCTGTATAAATAAACTTGGCCTATCGCACAATCATGCATTCGTGATGAAAACCTTATGGGGTGTCATAGGTCGTCTTATGACACCTACCTACTTCGGACCAATCATGGTCTTTGGGGTTCTATGCAACACTCAAAGATCAACTAAGAAAGAATCTCGGGACTTTCCTCGCAACACAGCAGTTGGATAACCAGTTTGGATAGCTGGAGCGGGATAGTGGGGCGGGATACCGGGAGTGGCACACGGAGAGAGAGAGAGAGAGAGAGAGAGAGAGAGAGAGAGAGAGAGAGAGAGAGAGAGAGAGAGAGAGAGAGAGAGAGAGTTCTCAGAGTGGCGAGAAGGAGGATTTCAGAGATGGTGACGTGGCATTGCACGCCCTCTCATCTTTTGCGGCCTGTTGGGGAAACTTGTGAGGGTAGCTAGGCGATAGGTAACCCTTGTCCAGTACGTGGACATGAATCTCACCTACCTATCACAAACCTTCTATCCAGTAAACAAACTCAGGAAGATGCACAAAAAATGCTTAGTCCCTACGGTGTACCCAACCTTATGGACAGAGGGACCGTCCTTGCTCTATGGCCTGAAGGAGTCTTCAAGCTCCACCTCAGGACTTTAGTAGACTTACATACCCTACCTATTTAGGCGACCGGACATTTCTACTTACTGAATGGAGTGCCACTTGGCCTGCAATTGATTTCAATGTCTTTCCCTCTAGCCGACCTAGATATTGTGGGGCTATATACTGTCATACTTAGGCTCAGTTGGATTATGCTGTCACAGGTGCATGGGTCTGACATAGTTACCTACATTTGATGTGACGCACTTTACCTATACACACACCTACAATTGATAAAACCAACATGGACATATGACATGCACTACTGGAGTCCACCCTTTTTCTCACTAGTCCCCCCCAGTCCCATACATCCCTAGACAACTGCAAGACCTATTTCCTCCCCAAACGCTTCAACTACAATCTGCAGCATAGTCTCTTCAGGGGACCCCAAGACTACGCAGGAACATTTCAGACCTGGACCTTCCAGAGCGATGTGGTCAGGTGGTACTGTGGGCTGGGTGGTCTTATGTGGGCCGGATGATGCTATGTGGGCTGGGCTGTCCCTCTTCCCCCCATCCCCACAGAGAAAAAGGAACCCCTCAAAGAGAACGCCCCCTAGAAGAGAACCTATGTGCAATGAACCTGCCTTGTGGAGAAACACGGACCACACACGCCATTAACTCTCACTTGACCAACATGCACAAGGCAAAACAAGGCAATTAACAGAAGTAACACAAGCCGCCTTTCGCGCCCCCAACAACCAATTATTAGCAGAATTGACAGAGAATCTGAGAGAAATGATCGATCACATGAGCACAAGAATGTACACTGTTGATGATGAAAACCCTCTTTAAGGCACCCAACAACCCATTACAACAATAGTAGTTCTCTGCCCTCTGTGGTCTCTGTACCAGCAGAATTTGCACAAGCCCCTTTTCACACCAAGAACAACTAGTTATTAGCAGAATTGACAGAGAAGTGAGCACACGAGCACAAGAATGTACACTGTTGACGATGAAACCCGCCTTTAAGGCACCCAACAACCCATTCAACAATAGTAGTTCTCTGCCCTCTGTGGTCTCCGTACCAGCCCGAGTGACCACCTGTTTATCATCTCCTCTATCCTTTACTACTCTGTGTCATGCCGCAGAGTCCGGTGCCGGTTTCGCTCCTGCTGATGGACTTGAAGAGCCTGACCCTGGTGGGGCTCTCCCTTCCGATCACCAGGTATCTGCCGAGTCTTCCCTTCTCCACGGTTTCCTCTTTCCCAAAGACCTCTGCGTTCAGCACCACCTTTCTCCCAGCTGCCATGGCGGCAGCATTCTTCTCAGCTGCCATGGTGCCAGCCTTCTTCTCCGCGCCAAAACTGCCATGGCGCCAGCCTTGGTCTTCTCTGACAGCCCAGCCCTTGCTGGAGCTGCCTGTTGGCTGAAGCCACTCCCTCCACCTGCTAGCGCAGCTCAGCAGTGTGCTTGTCAAATTTCCGCTGTCTGTCCAAAACGCCTTTGGCTTACCCCGGCCTTCCTTAAGTACTTTGCCCAGTGTCGTGTTCACCCGGTAAGCGCTGCCTACTGGAGACTTCCGGGTTTGGCCTTGCCCTACCAGGTCCCAGACAGCTTGGCCAGGCCCAATCCCTGGTGTGAGTGGGTTTTACCCCTTTGCTTGTATGCAGGGCCTCTAGTGTAAATTTTGTCCGACATCATACCCGGCCAGGCGGAGACCAGAGACACTTGAATACGTCTTTCTACAGTGCCCTGGGTCGGTCTGGTTGTGGAGATGGTGGGATCGGGTGTGGCGTTAGCTAGACACGACAATCCTCGTCCGTGGAACTGGAAACCAATTATGTGGGAAACCTGGCAGTCGGAACAAGCAAGCACCTTTGAGAAAAATATGTTCACAGTGGGACGTAGAGCAATCTTTTGGGCAATCTGGTGGAAAAGGTGCATCAGTGAGATGGAAGGAATTTCCCTTGAAGGTCCAGTTGTGGTAGAGGCAATTAAGCACCAGATTAAGGTTGTTTGCAGGAAGGGCCTACGGTCCCCGCATATGTATGCTCGATAAAAGGAAGAAAAATGACCACACACACGACTCTCACAAAAGTGCAACAACTAAAATATCACCTCATCACCACTAGGTGGTAATACGTGGGCTGGGTGGTATTACGTGACCTGTGTAACACCATGTGGGCTGGGTTGTGTTATGTGGCCTGAGTGATAATATGTGAGCTGGGATGTAGCATGTGGACTGGCTGTTCCAGGCTTCCAGCTGAAGGGTGCTATGTCAGGTGGGTAGTACCATGCAAGATGGGCCATCTTGCATGGCTGTTCCAGGCTTCCGGCTGAAGGGTACTGACTGTTCCAGGCTTCCAGCTGAAGGGTACTGGCTGTTCCAGGCTTCCAGCTGAAGGGTACTATTGTCAGGTGGGGCGTACCATGCAAGATGGGCCATCTTGCATGGCTGTTCCAGGCTTCCGGCTGAAGGGTACTGGCTGTTCCCGGCTTCCAGCTGAAGGGTACTATTGTCAGGTGGGTAGTACAATGCAAGATGGGCCATCTTGCATGGCTGTTCCAGGCTTCCGGCTGAAGGGTACTGGCTGTTCCAGGCTTCCAGCTGAAGGGTACTATGTCCGGTGGGTAGTACCAAGCATACTTTGAAGTTTGAACAGGAATATATGGCAAGATAGACAATTCGAAGAAACTTTTTGAGTTCTTCTGTTCCGAACCAGAGTCGGTAATATATTTTACTGTAGTTTATTAATTCGGATAATTGATCATAATTCCCATATTTGCAATCTCTTTGAATGGGTCCCACATGTGTGTAAACATTCCAAACAAACTTCTAAATAATGTGTGCACCGAATGGTACCATGTGCGCTGGATGCTATTACATGTGCCAGGTGGTACCGGGTGTGCTGTCTGGTACTCTTACAGTTTCCATGGTACTTACTACCTTGGCTAAGAAACAAAACAAAATTTGAAAAGATTGATTAAAAACATGAGTTCCTGTGGAACTACTGTGTTAAACACTCAACATACGCTCTGGTCACAACATAAGCTCTCAATAAGGAATGAGATTCATCACATATAATCTACAATAACTTTCATAATAATCTCGAATTGCCTTCCGCCCGTTCCCTGTGGATGATATCTCAAGGCTTCCACCCTTTCAAAAAAAAAAAGAAGAAATAAAAAAAAAAAAAAAAAAAAAAAAAAAAAAAAAAAAAAAGAAGAAATGAAAAAAAAAAAAAAAAGAAGAGAGTTCCTGTATTCTTGTATTTGGGCGTCTCTGTCCGACACTCCCTGCATTCGAGCATGCATATGAGTGGGAGTCAAAACTTCAAAAGAGAAAACGAACATGTCGGCACTCCTCTGAAACGAAAGAACGGTTTCCTCTCGTGCTCTACCAGCAGCGTGTGTGAGCATTCCATAACAAACTTCTCAGTAAAAGACAAAAATGACTCCCAGAAAAACAAAAGGGCTTCCTATGACACATCCTGATGGCACGAATAGACCGCAAAACCTGAGTGGAGATGTGCAATCGACCTTGCAGTGAGGGCACACCGATGGATTGCTCAACTGATTGACGGTAAGCGAGGAGTTCAATGCCCTGAGCACCAAGCGGTTTCCGCTGGCGGCCCTGGAGGCGACCGCCTTCAACGCTCTGCCGGCGCTGCTGGCCCTGATTCTGCCAGCCCTGGGCCCAAGGCCCTTCTGTGCTCTGCCGACCCATCTTACTCCTTAAGAGTTTATACTACTTCATAGGTAGATAGATAGAAGAAATGACAATCTCACCTTTCTTTTACCTTCGCTTTGTCTCATCCTGGTTCCTGTTAGCTTTAGATTAGCCCAGCTTAACTTTAGATTGGTGGTACATGTTCTGCAGGTGAGGTGGGGACTTTTTTCTAATGAACTTGGCTCAGCTTGCAAGGTTGGCCTAAAACGACAGCACGGTCAAATGAGAGTCCCAGTTTGCTTGAGGTGCAGTGCACTGTATTACACGCGCCCAACTCAATAAGAAAGACTGGACTCCTTTCTGAAAGCTTTTCGTAATGGCAAAGGGGAACTGAAGGCATCATGGCGATGGCCGTCCATTCACACCTGGTGGGGACGAGCGGCGCTGCGATTGGCTCAAGGGAGGCTAGTAGTAGATTCCATGTTTTCTGTGATTTCCACCTGCTGAGTGAAGGGGAAGGGCACACAAGGGTACCTTCAGTTCATGGATGCAGAAAGCAGCAACAGATCACCTGCCAATCTCCACGCTTTGTGAGATACGCTGCCGATCGTCCTGCATGCTGGCCGCACACATCCGGTCTCCTCTTATGTGTTGGTAAGGATACCGGGGTTGGCAATCACATCGTCCGTCGACCACTTCAGCAATCAATCCTTCAACCGTTCTCTCATCAGGCTTCACAGCCACCTTCGTCATCGTTGCTCTCGACATTGCCGTGGAAGTCCCACAAAGCATTTGATCGAAAAAAGTTTCGGGTTGCTGAGCTCGCTCACTGCCTGTCTAGCTGTTGTCCATCTCCCCGTCCTCCTAATCGCTGCCATTTTCTTATGAAGTTGCAATTTCAGCGTCATCGCACTCAAGTCTCTGCAAAGCAAGTGGGTCATGGCCTCAAGCATTTCTTTTCCAGGACACGCCAATTGCGAATTGTGGAAGATCACCGAAATCTTGCATTTTCGGTCCATGGTGGTGGCTGCCCGAGAAGAAAGCGCTGCAGTGATGAAATGCAACAGTTTGTGGGTTCCATTCTTTTCCAAGGGCTATGTCAGGGACAGGACCTGGCGTTGCCAATGCATACCGCTTCTAGCCCACCTTCATGTGCTCCTGGTTTGATGGCGAAGAGGAATGCCGTCCAAACAATTTTGGCTGAAGAGGCAGATGAAGTGGGTGAAGACAGCTTGGCAGAAGGAGTTCCCGATGACTCCGAGGAGAGCATCAGAGAGCGCCTAATTCAGCTGCGAAACGGATCCTGGCCTCATGGTGCCTCGCTCGTTTTTCCCTCCTCCTTGAGCTCTGCGAAGCGGGCCTATGCACATGACCTTGCAGAACGCCTGGGCCTGCAGCACACAAGCGCGGGTAGTGCACCCAATAGGAGGCTCACGGTGAGGAGGCAAACTATCTCGGAACGGTTGCTAAGGCTCCAAGAAATGGTAGATGAAGAAGAAGCAGCTTCTCGGGCTCTGCTGAGCACAACAGCCAGCCCTGCACAATCAGGGCAGATGCTAGAGTCACAAGGCTTGCTGCTTCGAGGAGCTGCTGTTCTAGAAAAGGAGGCGGCAGCATTTGGGAGAGAGAGGTGGGTTGTTGGCAAAGAGGGACCAGGAAGGGACCATACTCAGATGGAAAGCTTTCTACAGCGGGCCCGACCAGGCAGCAGCATCCGATTGGCCGTGAAGAACTCTGTCGGCGAGTATGTTGTAGCGGAAGGTCAGCCCGCTGGACGAGTGGCTTGGTCGAGGACGAATCGAATTTGCGTCATCTTTGATTCTCCGCCTGCTGAGGGGGATGACGAAGACGGTGCTGACACAAGGGGTAATAAACCTTCTGTGGGCTCTACGAGGAATAGCATCAGCATTCCGGGGGACAGCGTCAATCTTCTGCTAGTCCCAGATAGTCTGACATTTGATCGATTCCGATCCACCCTCGCAGAATGCCAGCGGTCGGAAACAGAAGCGCAGGTGCAGAAGATGCTCTCTGCATTGCTCGGTACTTCACTTGATCTGGGAACTGATGCCAACATTGCGACGACTATCGGCAGCAAGTCTCCAGGGTTATTAGCACCACTTAGCTCCTTTTTTGATGAAAGTCTGAACGAGGAGCAGAGAAGGGCCGTAACGATGTGCGTAGATGGACCTCATTACGACAGTCCTTGTCCATCTCCGGTAGTCCTTGTTCACGGTCCATTTGGAACAGGCAAAACACGTACCCTTGTGGAGGTCATCCGCCAAAGAGTAGCCAACCAAGAGCGAGTGCTGGTCTGTGCTGCATCAAATGCAGCTGTGGATAACATTGCGCTTGCTCTGCTAGAGGCAGATCGCGACATCGGTTTGGCACGTGCTGGATTGACGGAGCGTGTTAACCCTCTGCTAGCTGCTCACACATTGGATTCCTTGCGCGAGAGTCAACCGGAGAGCGAGCTTGCACGGGAACTGAGGAAACAAGCGCATGCAGCTGCCGCTTCCGCTAAAAAGTGGATTAGAGCAGCTGATGGTGGTCAGCGAAGGCGCGCCGCTCGCATGGAGGCCAACGCTTTATTCAAAGATGCGCGGAGGTTGGAGCGAGCAGCTTCCATTACTGTTCTTCGACGCACATCAGTTCTCTGTGGGACTTTGACAGGGTTTGTGACCTCTCTCCATGACGTGGGCAGGCTGGACGATGGTGACTTGTCTCGCTTTGATTGTGTGGTGATTGACGAAGCCAGTCAGGCTACCACTCCCGCAGTGCTGATGACATTGCCATATATATGTCGGCGCGATCAAAGACAAACAGGAGGCACTGGTGGTGGAGGAGGAGGAAGTGTAGAGAATCTCTCTCTTAGTTCTACGACCAGTGGGTCACGTCGTCCTCCTGGGGAGTGGCCAAGGCCCGTCATGATCTTGGCTGGCGACCACAGGCAACTGCCACCAACTGTGATATCAGCTGATGTGCCTGGGCATGGTGGCGGCCTGGCGGCGACCCTCTTTGAAGAGCTTATGGAGAGAGACGGGGGAGGTCTAGGGACCTGGAGTCTTGTTTACGGGGCGTCAGAGGTCAGGGAGGCAAAGGCGGTTAACGTGATGGAAATGGCTAAACAGGCAGCATTGTATGGAAGAGTGCATGGCTTACATGAGGAGAAAGGAGGCGAAGCGAGAAGAAAACAAAGAAGTGGGCGCATATCTTCTGCGCTGACCGTGCAATACCGGATGCCTGCCAGTCTAATGGCATTCCCTTCCGCAGCCTTTTATGGAGGATCATTAGTTGCAGGCGCTTCAACACAATCTCTTTCGTGCGTGGACTGTGAGACTCTACGGAACAGAAGTGGGGACGGGTTACTGAGAAATGGGTGCTGGCTGGAAGTGATTGATACAGCAGGTGCAGGATATGAGGAAGAAACATCGGGTGCCATCAAAAATTCAAGTAGGGATGGTGGTGCAAGGCAATCGCGAGACGGTGAGTCATTATCGACTTGCAATAGAAAGCAGGGAGAGTTGACGGCGCGCGTTGTTCAAGAGGTGATCGAATTTGGGCTTCTAGGCACGAGCCGGCGCGTAAATTTTGCAGACGTAGCAGTGGTCACACCGTACTCAGCTCAGGTGATGATTTTGAGGGAGATGCTGTCGCGAGCGGTTGCTGATGGTTTGGAAATCGATTCCATCGATGGTTTCCAAGGGAGAGAGAAGGCAGTTGTGATTCTTGACTGTGTGCGGAGCAACAATGACTCGAATGTAGGATTCTTATCAGATCACAGACGACTGAACGTCGCTATCAGCCGCGCTCGAAACAAGCTTGTCGTGATTGGTGACTCTGCAACATTAGCTGTGGATCCTGTATGGAAACTATTCTATGATTGGGCATCTTTGTTTTCCAACCACGCTTGCAGGGGCATCGAGTCTGTTGTCTCTGAGGCTGGGAGTCATGAGACACAGCATTTTGCATACCGTTCTGTCTTCGAGTTGCCCCCTCCGGATGGATGGTGAGTGCTCCCTGTTATTTCAGGGGCCACCCCTGCGGATTGCCAAATATTTTACCTGGTAGTGAGCTCATGTCTCAATAAAAAGTCAAAATACCTCTCTCAATGACCATGAAGATGCTGTTTTTTCCCCCCTTACCTTGATAAGGAGAGGCACCTCCTCTTTGTTTTTTATCATTGGGAGAAATGTCCTGCTTAATAATCTATTAATTGATCTTTCTCGTCTTCAAATTCCCCCATAGCATCACTGTGCTGTAGTATATACCGACTGCTACACCCCTCTCACTTGAGTAATGGTATGCCAGTTGTCAGTCTGGCTCACTCCTCAGCTTTCTGTATACATCATCCTATCCCAGCCTTATACTTACCTTTTCATATGCTTGAAAGAGAGATGAAAGGATTTCACGCTGCACAAGCCCAAGTCCCAGTCCCAGAGTCCCAATTGGGCCCGGTTCCAGATGGTCCCAGGCCCAGTAAGTCCAAGTAAGTCAAGCAGCGTCCCAAGAAAGTTTGGAGACTTCAGGAACGACACAGCATGCAGCAGACAGGCCACAGGCGACCGGTACCGGTCCAAAGCAGGCAAAGCAAGTCGGCAGTTTCTATTTATAGCTGCCACAGTGCCAAGGGAAATCAGTTGTTCATTCGCAAGTTGTGGAAGCGCTACTGGTTGCTTGTGCGATAGTGCGACTTGGACGAAGGGTGGTGCTGAGGGAGAAGCAGGCGCCCCGCGAGGGAGAAGACATCCATAGATAGGATAGGGAGGAGGTAGAAGGCGGCCATAGCCGTGAAGCTTCGGGGAGATGCATCGCAGTTTTATTCAGGGTAGATCCAAGTAGAGAGAGAGGGAGAGAGAGAGGGAGCTCATCAGTGAGGATTGAGCGATACAAGAGTTGAGAGCGAGAGAGAGAGAGAGAGAGAGAGAGAGAGAGAGAGAGAGAGAGAGAGAGAGAGAGAGAGAGAGAGAGAGAGAAGAGGGCGAGAGTCACCCACATCACATCGTGGGAGAGGGAGTCGGGTACTTACCAGAGTTGGGGTTGCTGTTGTTGGTTCGCGGCTGAGGCCTTTGATTGCCAGAGCTCTTCCATTATATAATAGAATCTTTTTGAGCGGAAATTCTTCGTGTGCGGATTCATGTGTCATCTTTCGGCTTGGGTGTGAACTCTCATGTGAATGACCTCTCGTCCATGTACGTACGCCCACCCTCCTTGCCTTTCTACATCTGTAATGACATTTGTGTGTCGGTCTTCCAGTCTACCGAGTCAGATCATGATTTGAGTCGTCCGCTGTGCTACATTGTCCCATATTGTCTTGATTTTCGTTTGCATTGCTTCATTTCTGATCGCATTGCTATTCTTGAGTCCTTTCTTTCACATTGGTGGTCTTTGCTGTCTGCGCACTGCCTATCTGATGATAGGCATTCATCAACGGCCTCTGAACTAGCTTCCTACGGCAAGCACTATCCAGCGTCAGGCTGCAACGGCCATTTGACAACTGCACGCATTCCTGACTACGTACGGATTGAGGGGGACCGTAATTTTTTTTTTGTGTTTGTTTTGTTTTTCTACAACTGCCGATTAAAGCCTAAAGCTAGCCTTTAGGGTTTAGGGTAGATGAGTCTTTTTCCTTGTTTGCTATGTTTTTCTACAACTGCCCATTCTAAAGCTAGCCTTTAGGGTTTAGGGTAGATGAGAAGTCCAAACAAACTCTCGGGACGATGCCGAAATGTGAACGGAAGGCAGGTCTGATTAGCAGATTTTTTTTGAGAGGCACACAGTAGAGTCAGAGTAGACAAATAAATAGTGAGTGCCTTATCATTGTTATGAATCTTATGATGTTATCACAACTCAGAAGTCAGAACTCCGTTGCGACTTCTAATTTCTAGAGCAAGCAATCGTCGCTCATCACTTTTTTCAAGTTTTTGTGTACTTTTGAGAATGCCGCAAGCAAGTTTTACCTGTGCCTGGAGCTTGGTCAACTTGTCATTCAAGCTATGAACCTCCTCGCGCAATGTGTCTCTCTCGATAATCACGTGTGGATCTGTCCCGCTGCCTGCGATCTTCCTTAATTTTTGTGACTGCACAGCGCAAACAGAGGCAGGTAAGGTTCTGTTCCTTGAAATGCAATCAATCTTCATGAAATGGACTATAGGGGCAACCCCAATTGGAACACTACTGTAGACCCAGTGCTGGATAGGAGGATCACACAAGCGAGGAAGGGGAATCGGTGAAACAGAGGGACAACCCAATTGTGGAGCTAGTGAGTGAAAAGGAGCTGGACGACCCATGGTGACTGAAGGACTCCAAGAAGGAGCACGTGTATCGAGAAGAGGAGACAGGAAAGGACGTCTTTACATCTTTCTCTTCCAGATAAACTACTTCCTTATTTTCACCTCCCTGAAAGGGGAGGTAGGCTGCACAAGCATACAAAAAGCAGCGTCTTTGATCACAAGCAAATTGGATAACAGCTATCTTCCCATCGGGGTAATGAGCCAGGGAGAAGTTTCTTTAAGATTAATAATTCACTACTACTAAAGGAGAGAGAAATTAGAGAGACACCAGCACCCCTCTTCGTCACGCCGCACGCACCAACTCCAGAGCAGGCCGGTATCATTCCCGTTGGATGGCGCACAGCGCAAGCGCCGATGTCGCGGCGCTCCCAGCCGCGCTGTGCCAACCCGGCTCCTCGAGGTTCCCACTCGACCCTCTTCTCTGTCGTTCTTCAGTTACTCTGAATGTTCCTCCTTCCGCTGCCAGGTGGGCAAGGGGGGACCCGCCCAGGAAAAGCGGGTGGGTAAAAAAACTTGAAAAAAGAGGCAAGCACCCAAAGAAAACAAAAATCTGGACTTCGCTTGATAGAGCTGTGCTGATAGAAATCTCGGAGGTGGACAAGGACAACACACCCTGCAGCGCTATGAGAAAAGGAAGAGGGGATCAACAGACAAGGAAGCAGAAACAGACATCATTGATTACACATTGCACAAGATATTGACAGAACCCCCCATCTTGCCTCCAACAAATCCAAAAAATGACAAAATAATAATAACATCTCGCAATGCCAGTCGGTCCTCAAGCCGACCAACCAATATGATCACACTCTTTCCGCTAGCCATCTCTGGATCGATTCTTCAGTTACTCTGAATGCTGGCAACCACCCTCACCAACTCTCTTCCCCCCACGGCTCTCCTCTTTCTCCAAGGACTCTCCCTCCCTCCCTCCCTCCCTCCCTCCCTCCCTCCCTCCCCCCCCCCCCCTATCAATCCATTTGAAAGGACTGCGACTTCCTGTCAGCTAGCGCCCCCCCCACCAGGGTATAATGTTCAACCAGCACATCGCTGGGGCGTACCATGCGTATTAACCCCACCCGGCCTGATTCATCCTTTCGCGCTACCCAGTCCCCTTCCTTTAATGACAGGCCTCTTTGCAAGATGGGGAGCCAGGTAAGGGGGAGGGCATCTATCATCTCTTCCAAAGTCGTTCCAATCTAGTGGCAGTATTGCAGTCTCCCTCTAAGCTGTCCTGGCGTTATCCATTCCCCCGGTATCTTTATCCCACAGATCCCCCACCCGTATTACCCCAGTTTCACCCATAACTTTCAAGAAATTCAAGGTGGATCTAAGCTGTGCATATTATCTGACTGTGTGGCAGCTTCCCCCAGGTCTTGACAACAGTTACCAAACAGGGCTTGTCTAGCGATTTCCCCCCACCATTCTGGCGTCGATCGATCTGGAGGTGGCAGCTTCCCCTAGGTCTTGACAAGCCAGGGCCAAAAGTTGTCATATGCAGGGTCTTGTCTGAGGTCCGGTGTGGTTTTTGGCATCCCTCTTGCCCTGCGGGGGACTCTCCAATACCGGTCCTCCGACCAGGTTAGCAGGTCGGTGGGGGGGAGGGGGGGTTCTGGCAAGGCAAGAGATCTGTGCAAAAGCCAAAGGTTGCCATGGGTGACGAGTGTCAAAGATAAGGCATTTTATCCATTGCAAACTTAGAGGATTTGATTTGAGTTGGGGGTCCAAGATACACAGTCCTCGTTGGGCTTTGGGCTGAATTATCGAGTCCAATGCAACTTGGCTTGTTGGCATGCGCATTTTCATTGTCCCCTTTCCACAGAAAGGCCGGCACTGGCTTCTTGAGTGGCTTTAAGGCTGGCTCGCTCTATGGCCATAGAACCGACTTGTACCGCAAGGTGGCCAGCACCACATTGTTGATCAGCAAGGCACACCCAAATAGTGAGGTGTGTTCATTGTTGCAATTGGATAGCTTTGTCAGGGTTGGGGTCTTAATCGAGTCCTCATTTGAAACTGGTTTGCCCTAAGTTGTCATTGACACACCGAGAACTCGGCCCGGGGCCTCCAAAGGGAGCCATGTGATGTTTGGGGTTCTGGGGGCCGGCCCCCTTGGTGGTGCAACCACCACCCCAGTGTTTTGTGCCCCCAATTGACAGCCATGTCCGACAGTCTGCAAAATCGATCAATTAGCCTTCGTATATCCCTCATGCTATGACTGTCGGCTTCGTATATCCCCCATGCTATTATTGTGAGATCGTCAGCAAACAGGGAACACATCGGGATGGCTTCCTCTAAGGTCTGTGAGATTTTGCTCTATTTAGATCCTTGCTGTGTTGTAGGTTAAACCACCAGTACTTGGCCCAGCTATCGGCCGCGGCGCTGTCCCGTTAACGCGCCGCACCTTTAGGGCTTCGGGGTACCGGACCACAATGGCTGGAAGCGCCAGCCAAAAAAATTTTGAAGCGGTACCCCGGCGCTTCGGCGAAAACTGGCGCGCAGGTGCATTCCAGGCTCGGCATCGATAGCTGGGCCAAGTACTGGTGGTTTAACTGGTAAGGCTTCCATTACTGTTAGGAAAAAAAAGAGGGTGATAGGGTCACCCTGTCTGACCGAGCATTGTAATGTGATTTCTGGTGCTAAGGAGCCATTGATCGGAACTCGGGTGGTGGCGTTTTAGTGCAAGATTTGCACACATCATTGAAACTGAGGGCCGAAGTTTATTATTTCTAAATTTCTAAGCATCTATCCAGAAATATCCAGTCCACATGATCATATGCTTTTTCAAAATCCATAAAAATGAGAGCCGCATTTTGTTTTCACTGGCGTGAATGCTTGATCATTTCGTTGACAAGGGGAATGTTCTCCTAGATATTCCTGTTACGTATGAAGACGGTTTGGGCCTGATGGATGGTATCCTCCATTACCTCGATCATTTGGTAGGATACCGTCTTCACCCGAACATAACACCCGGTCATTATAGTCGTATTTGGGGCAATTTTCTGTCCAGATGCAGCGATAATGGCTGGGCGTCTAGGCTACCAGAGTGGCCCGGGGTCACTTGCCCGGCCAGGCCAGGAAAAAAAAAAAAAAAAAAAAAAAAAAAAAAAAAAAAAAACATTTGAAATTTATTTTTTATTCTAAATTTGGTGAAGAATTTCGATGTGACCCTGAGGCAAAAGTTGTTCAGTTTATTTTTCTGCATAACATAGTTGTTTTTCCGGATTTTTTGGATTTCTTTTTTTTTTTTGGCTGGGACAACACCCCTCGACCAATCATTTCTCTAGTTTTGTCCAGTGTCCCAAACTGCCTCATAGGCTACCAGCCGGGCCGCCCGGGTCACCCTACTTTCCCAGGCGGCCCGGCCGTGCAAGGACCAGGGAAGGCCCCAGCCAAAACAAATACAAAATAAAAAAAATCCAAAAAATCCGAAAAAAAAAATGTTATGCAGAAAAATTAACTGAACATTTTTTGCGTCAGGGTCACATCAAAATTCTTTACCAAATTTAAAATAAGATTTTAATTTTTAAACTAAAAAATAATTTTTTATTTTTTATTTTTTTTTGGCCCGGTCGGGCAAGTGGACCCGGGCCACTCTGGTAGCCTAGTCAAGTACTTGTTTTTTTTTTTTTTTCAAGTGACTTCTTTCTTTTCTTTTGAAACGTATTCGGGGTTGATACGAGCATCGCCCAAAATTGTGTTTTGCCTTTGTCAGTTGATGACTCATATCTATTGGTAGGGAGCAACACCTGCTGGAAACCAGGTCAGGTCCGCCATCCCATTGTATAACAAAACTCCATCGCATCTTGTGCAGTACTAAGTCTACTATATATGGTTGTGTGATCATGTGTATGTGTGTATACTATTATATGATATGATCTCTATGGATGGCAGGCCGTTGGTCCCCTCGAGTGGCATTGGGCAGAGACTGCTGATGTTCGTAGGGGGAGGGGAGGCACACCGACTGGCCCGTCGAACAAGATCGGCCCTGATGCTACCGGCTGACCCCTGGCCGGTATCGCCCACCTGCTGTAGCAGGTATCGCACCTGCTGGTGGGTGCACCTCCCACATGTTCCCTCGTTGGTGGCTTGAGCATGGATGTGGCTGCTACGGGGTTCCCCGTAATACGATAATGACAATAAAATAAAAAAAAGGCCTGAAAGGCCGTCCTGTCCAGATTCGCGACAGGTAATTGAATTGGTTGGGCTTACAAGAATTAGCCTTGTATTAATGGGACGCTGGACCCGGTTTCCAGCAGGTGCCGCTCCCCACCAATAGACGGAGCTGCCCCAAAGATAAGCCCTGAATTCTGACGGTTCTCCTACCACCGCCAGGATAGAGAGATATCACAAGGGCTATTCTCAAAAAAAAAANAAAAAAAAAAAAAAAAAAAAAGCCTTTATAACAACAACAAAAAAATAAAAATAAAAAAATAAGCTGATTCATTGCAGGTTATCTCAGCTTGTAAGTGCCTCCCTTTGTTAACCATGTGTGAAACTTTGGTTCGGAACTTTTTTAACTCTCGCAAAGATATATTGCACCTGCCGCACTTCTCTCTCTAAGACTCTAACCATGAAGTCCATCTTTGATTTCTTCTTTCCTGAAGTCCACCAGCTTCCCCCCTGATCACATCATTAGTTGTTTGACAGCACCAGCTTGCATCTGGTCTATCAATGGACAGATGGAACGTCGTAGAGTTTGAAATAATGCAGGCATTCTGGATGTGACATCATAGAGGTATTCAGGGAAGCAGATGACACGTATTACGGCTGCGGAAGTAAGAAAACACCTTACAAAAAAAAAAGAAAAAAAGAAAAAAGAGAGAGAGAGAGAACACCTGACTTACTTTTACAGTGAAGGCAGTGGCTGGTTTGTTCAATACTGCCTGCTCGGAGGATTTCATCTCGGCAAGGAGGTTCATGTTCTCCAGTTGGTTAAAATCAGCATACATCAGAAAACCTGCTTCCTCCGCCTACAACATCATTGGCACTCCAGCACAAAAAAAAGGACAAGACATGAGACCTTAGGTCAAGTGGTCCATGGAAGTTGTTGTCGTGGTTGTTGTTGTCGTCGTCATCGTCGTCGTCGTCGTTGGCATTGTTGTTGTTGTTGTTGTTGTTGTTGTTGTTGTTGTTGTTGTTGTTTGTTGTTGTCGTTGTTGTTGTTTGTTGTTGTTTGTTGTTGTCGTCCTCGTTCTTGTCCTTGTTGTTGTGGCGGTGGTGGCTATCACTATCATCACCATCGTCACCATTCAACACCATTGTCGCCATCATCGTTGTCATTGCCATTGTTGTTTCGTTGGTTTCGTCCTCATGAGTGTTGTTGTGGTGGTGGTTTTTTGTTGTTGGTCATTCAGGGGCAGGCCCTGGATTGCCTTCGAAGAGATTCTTTAGAAAATTTAATCAGATTCTACAAGGTGGCTCATGTAAAAAGACAAGATGCTTTTCAACAAGCACATCTGTTTTGGGTAAAGACGGGTCATAGGTTCAAATCCTCTCCAGAATACCAATCAAACTTCAAATTGATCAAACCCAACTCCTAGAGTTAACAAAGACGACACAGAATGTGAGGGCGGTGGCAACTCCTTAATGTTCGGAGGTCTTATGATCCTTGCTCAAGTCAATGATGAAAGCAACCAGCATTGATAATCCATGGAGCTTGGGGCAGCACGGCAATTGCAAGGATTTTAAAGCCATCAGAGTCCGGTCCCCATGTCCAAGTTCCAGTCTTAAGGTCGCAAGGTCCCACCTACCATTTTCCCACACCGAAGATTAGGCAGGTCTAGAAGGGTCCGGCAGGCTAGGGTCTAGTAGGTTAGTATCCTGTTATCAGTCCAGTCCAGTCCAGTCAAGGGGGGGCTCGGCCCAGGGTCCCAGGAAGTCAATGAACATTCCGGATGCATCCAAAGCCCGAAGTCATGGCCAGCAGGCTGTGTTCCACCGAGATGAAATCCTCCGAGGATTTCATCTCGGCAGCACCAACACTTAATTCCACAGCAGCAATCTTGGCACAACTATCGGCACAGACAAAAGCACAACTAGCATGGATGGAATTAAGTGTTGGCGTCAACACTTAATTCCATCCGTGCTAGTTGCGGAAGCACTGCTGCAATCTTGTGCGACAAAGTGATGAGTGAGCTGAAGTGAGGCTGAGTGGATCGTAGTGGACCGCGGGTGCTCGGCGCCATAGCTTAGCTTGGGGAGAGAGAGAGAGAGAGAGAGAGAGAGAGAGAGAGAGAGAGAGAGAGAGAGAGAGAGAGAGAGAGAGAGAGAGAGAGAGTCACAGCCCGTGTGAGGTTGCTTGGCGGCCATAGCCTCCCAAGTGTTTATACATGAGACTTTGTTGTAGAAGGCTTTGAATTTCCGAAAGAAAAACTCCGAATTGTCCTCATCTCATGTTTGGAGCTTGGTCTATGAAGCGTGGACTTGTGGTGGTGTGAGACTGTGAGTAGCGGTGTGAAAGCATGGGATAGTTGCAGCTGGCTCGCTTACGAAAGGTTGATCTCTCCGTTCCTGCTTCAAGTTGGGGCTCAGGTTCTTAGACCTAGATGGCCAGCGGATGACAAGGGCTATTATTTTACATTGGGCACTGCTATGCTATGTTTTGCTGGGTAATAAATACTAGGGGTAACTTCAGTAGAGTCACAAAAAAGGGGTTTATAATTGCACTATGGGGCAAGGTACAGTTTGCAATCGCACTTCAGGCACCCTATCTGGCCAGAAAGCTCGGTTGTATACATTGCCCAAACTGCGCTTCGAAACTGTATCTTGGCCCATACTGCAATTATAACTAATTTTTGTGACTCCCGCGTAGTTTCCGCTAAATACTAATAATCAATGTTGAGCATCAAGGCACTGGGGAGGTGACTATGGTGATCCCTTGTTTGCCATAGACTCTGGGTTCAAGACCTTCGGATGATGCGAACACATTGAAGTTTTTTTGTCGTAACATTGATAAGGAGTTTTATTATGCCAGGGGAATTTGGAGACCATTGTTCTGCAGTTAGAACTTACAACAATTCTCCTCATAAAATAAGAGTAGAGAGTGTGTGATTGGTCTATGGAGTTTGCACCTATTTGTGTGTATTCGCCGTACTATTCGGTCATTCGGAGATATTCAGCGGAAGACGTCGCGAGGTTGGATTTGATCCTTGATTTCTTCAATTTGTTTGTACTGGTTACACGGCGTCGTGAATGAGTGGACGTCCTGTATCATGCTGTATGGGCATGAATTTATGACTAAACCCTAAACCCTAAACCACAAAGAAGCCGTGCCTCATGCTCGGCTACCTGGTGGTGCATGGCGGAAGGGGCTGCCACTGCTACAAGCTGGGGTCAGTCATCTTAAACTTTAAGCCTCCCAAATTTAGACCCAAACAAAACTAATGGTGGTTTAAAGCTGATATAATGTGAGATTGATGAATGGGAACAAGTCCGAACAACTAAATTAAATTTTACAAACCATACCTATTTGACAGTCAAAGCAGGTGCATGAAAGACTTTCCCTTAAGTGGATATGTGGAAGTACGATACGCCGACTCAAAGAAACGTGTGATTTCTGAGCCTATTGAAATGACTCCCAGGCATTCAAACTCTTTGCCAGTTCAATGACAGTCCCAATGATTGAAAGCAGGAGAGGTGGAACCTGTACCAGATTCCAAGAAGCCAGTGTGGTAAAAAAGAAGAAACCAGTTTTTCGAGACTCCATAGGTCTCAATCCAAGAGTCGAACTACAGTCTTCCCCCGAATACAACGTACGGTCATTACAGCTGAATTTAGACCGAAAGATGCACCAAATTCGGCAATAATGACCGTGCGTTGTATTCGGGGGAAGACTGTAGGATGAATTCCTCATATATAAGAGTGAAAACTACTACTATGTCAAGTTGCATTGCAGTGAGGGTTTACGATGGTTAAACGGAACTCAAACCCACCAGTGCGTTTCCCAGCCATTTTTCTCCGACGCGGCTGTGCTTGCAGTGCAAGTCTTGGGGGTCAGCCTAACTACCAGAGCAAGATGGTCGACGCCAGCAGCCAAAAAAGGCCGACGCGGGGCGTTTCCAGGCTTGGCAAGGGAAGGATCAAAAGACTGAAAAGTACTGGCAGTTTAAGCTCTCGGTGCATCAAGGGAGTGCAACTTATTTTTAATTGGTCTTTTTTTTATTGATTCAATAGAATGAAACTTTGTACTCTGGGTACATACCTGCTGGAAGATGAGTTTAAGTAGAAGAGCATTGGCGTGGGCGTTGTTTTCTAGCTCATTCTCCAGTGCATGTGTGACCTCCGTCGCCAATGCGCTTAGCATCTCCAGCACATTGTTTTTTGTGTAGATCGCATCCTCCAACTTCCACTTCTCATAGTCCCGGAACAGAGAGCTTATCTGGTTTAGGGTTTAGGGTTTAGGGAATTGTCACCAAGAGCAAAGAAGAGCAAAGAAGAGCAAAGAACGGCAGCAAGTCAGGTTAAAACAACCCATCAAGGAGGGAGTGCAGCTTATCACAAAATCATTCATTACCATGGATTACACCCTAAAGGGCCTAAACCCTGAGTACCACCGGGACGACAGGCCTGGAGTCAAGAAACAATTGTACCGCCGGGACGACAGGCCGGGAGTCAAGAAACAATTGTTAGCAGAAAAGAGCTTTCAACCAGCCGACTGACGTTGCCTTGTTGACTGATAGAAGAGAGAGTGAGAGAGTTACAGTTAGGAGGGGGGGAAGGAGGGAGGGACGACGAGAAGCCGGGCGCTTGATGGAGAGTAAGGCGAGAGTACGGGACCCATCCTTCGAGACATCCGTTAAAATTGGAACGATACAGAGAAAGAAGATTAGCATCATCCCTGCGCAAGGATGACACGCATGAATCAAGAGAGTACTAGACCCCAAGAACGAACTACTCGTAGAGCTGAGTTTGGTTTTCGCTTCTGAAAAAGAGAGGATCATCGGTTCACCAGCCAAGTTGAGCGCATTTCTATTCGCCGAAAACGGTCTGTGAAAACAAATGAAAGGAAGAAAGAAGAAAACACATCGATGCAAGAAACTCGGTGGTAGAAATTTCTTATGTTTGTGCGTTTACGATACTACAGATGGTCTCCCACCAACGTCCACCATTGAGACATACATCGTGGATTTCTCGAAGTAGCTGGTGATCCGTCCGCCATAAGTGGATGAAGCAAGAATGCTATGGCGGAACGAGGAGAAGAGGAGCGAGATATGGAGAGACTGGCCAAACAAGGAATCAAGGAAGGACGGGGAAGGCGACTAGCCCGCTCGAGCGTTTTCTTGCTGCTTCGTTCCATTTTTTTAGTTAGAACGAAGATCCAGGCGCAGGTATTCTTCAACTTCATTGTTATCAACTGAGCCCCGTGAACGTTGTTGGGGGAGGGCAGGGGATGGAGCAAAAAGCGCCTGGCAATAGAGCTCTTCCCAATGCACAATGTAAGGCCTAGGAGTAATCGCAGCAAAGCCATCAGTATTTTTATCGGCCTCAGATCCATCTGTGGCTACGCATCCTATTGAACCGGCACCCTTGGCCTCACTAGCCAAGCATCATAACTACTGCTATCATCGGGACATGTACAAAAGTGGAACAGGGAATGATACCAGCCCACCTCTGTCGGCTGCAGCCTCAGTACTCTCTCTCTCTCTCTCTCTCTCTCTCTCTCTCTCTCTCTCTCTCTCTCTCTCTCTCTCTCTC